TGGCTTGACTGGTAGCACATCCTCAACAAATGCCTTTGTGGCACATGTAGAAGGCAGTACAAAATAAATAGGCAGACATTCACACCGGGAGCTAACTTCTAATAATGCTTTTTTTTTTGGAAACCATGGTGTGCTTATTCCAATTTGTCTAACAAGCAGTAACCTGTTTGGCTGTGAACCAACAAGACATTGAACTAATAAAAGCTTCACATCTTGTTGCTCTCAAATACATATGTATTGGCAAGCTATCTGTGACACTGCCAAACAAAGAATCAGAATATCTGTGCATGCCTTAAGATATATTGCTTCGTTTACATATCTCGTGGCTGTGACTCGTCAACCGAGTGAACAAATGCACCCTAGTTTACTAAATTTAAAGCATTTTTTGAAGGTAGCACGGTCTACATTTATTTGTCTATAGTTTTGTCCAGCCGTTTGCGTCAGGTACAAGGAAATATACTGAAGATTATCATGTAGCCTCTGCAAATGGTTGCTTTCAAGCAGGCTTTGCATGCTTGGCTTGTGCCTACAGGTATTGCACAATTCAAGACGCAGCAGCGTATGATAGAACAGTAGAATCAAGAGCAACTATGTGCACGAGCTAAATAAGTATTTTAACATGAGCGGACAGTACGTGTTATTTGCCACACACATGACCTCATTTAGAATGCCCATTGGTGAATGGGCTCATAGAAATGTCACTCAGCTGTGTATAGGAAACAAGTTAACTGAACCTAAGGGTATCTTTAACTGCTACAAATATGCCTTGTTGAGGTGCTGCACATTTTCTTCCAGAATATTGCTGTCCGAGACATCATGTGAAGAGCGTCTACCACATCAGCATTTATATGGCTTGCCAAATAACGTTTGGCCGAACCTTCCTTTTTTTCACATTTCGTTTTGCAGTAGACATCCTAGAATGTAAGCACTGCTTCAGTGTGTGTGACTCATTGTTATGAATTCATTCTGGCATGTTTAACCTCACACTTCTATTTTTTTTCTTGCAGCAATGAGATGCTTCACATATGCCTGCGGTGACGTTCTGCTGCGCTAGCCTGATGGAAACACCAGCTGCGAAACTTGAGTTCTTCAGAATTGGAGAAGTTGCCCTTCTCTCACCAATGATGAAACAGACTGCCCTATGCTAGAAATTCAAGATTGTTTTTCCACGGATGACGCAGAAAACCTTTGATGTATTATGGTGTTTGTTTAGTGCTGGCTGTGGTATGGCGAAGTCTACTTTTACGTGTGGTCACACGTCGGCTCATAAAAAGAACAATAAAGCATTTATTTTCCTTTCAATATTGTCCACTTTTTGTGTTAGAAGCACCCAAGCAGTGATCTTCCAAGGAGCTCTCGCCATGTGTTAAGCGTGTGACAAGCATACTTGAGATAAATACTCATTTCCCCAAGGAGTAACTGGAAGCATGTGCAGTTGGTTTTCAGAGAGTAACTGCGAACACGTGGGAGGAACGGTAAAGAGTAACTGTTGCTCTTAGAAGAGCAACTGGTGGGAGTAATGGTTGGTCGGCAGGGAGCAACTGGTGGGAGTAACTGTTGGTCTGCAGGGAGGAACTGGAGGGAGTAACTGTTCATCCCCCGATGGAGGAACTGAAAGGAGAGCAACGGTTCCTCCCTCTGCAGTTACTCCTTTTAGGAGAGTAATGGGAGTGGCAATGAAATTGCTCCCTGAAAGGAGCAACCCCTATACCCCTGTTGCTCCGTTTTGGCTTAGAGTGTTGTGTTTGACATGCTGTAGTACAGGAAGTGAAGAAGCGCACTTTATCGGGGACACAATAGAAAGATGCGGCACTCGATGCTTTCTTGCCTTTCTTGTCTCTTTTGAGCTGATCGAATTGGGATGCTTCACGTATATGGCATTATGATCAGTCACGATCTCTAAGCAGAATGCATAGTGCATAAGTGAACACAGGGAAAAAAGACGACGGGACGGGTGCTAACTTACAACAAACCGTTATTGCAGATGGTGCTCTTATATAGGCGCAGTGGCTGAATCTGCAAGGGAGAAATGGCAGCATATTTGTGGACTGAATGATGATGAGTGATGCGAAGCGTCCGTCCGTGCGTCTGTCCGTCTGTCTGTATGTTTGTGCGTCTAGTGAACACTCCGGGAACAAGATAAAGGACCGCATCGTCTGGCTCAATCTAATTCCTGCAGCAATTGTAAAGCGCAGTTTCACAAGTACGATCATCTCGCATCTTTTCGCCATATATTGATTATATACAAGTACTGCCATCTAGTGGACATTCTAAGAAATAAATGGGAGGTGGCTACCTACTACATGCATCGAGGACGCTCTACCCATGGCTTAAGGAGCTTTGCCCCTAAAAGTATATCCCCTGTGGCATATGTGCCACCGGTGGTTACCAACGATAACGGGATACGAACGGGTGATGTCGTAAGTAAGTACTTGCGCCAAACATTCATGTTTCTTTTTTGATGGTGATACTGACGGCATGATGACACGATCATCGCCTGCCCTATTGTGTCCATGCCTGTGCCTATACACTGTGCATGTGTGGGCACGATTTGCAATAATGGTTTGTTGAAAGTTAGCGCCCGACTCGTCTTATTGTCCTGCCTGTCCTAAGTTTGGTCCTGCGTTGTGTATTCTGCTTAAGCGTTGACCAACCGACGCGCCGCAACTTGTGGGATCGCCGGCTCGCCCAGCTTTCGACGTTTTTGAACCTCGTATGCTGCACAGACGTTCGGAATTCAAGATGGCGGCTCCGGTGCTGCGAATGCATGCGTGCTACCAAGGTAAGAGGTTAACGAGTGCTCGAACGTCTTTGACCGGCCACTCATTCCGATGCTCGTGCACGACGCCGAAGAGGAAGTGACATCATTGTTATATTTACTTCATATCGAAACCTATATACTCACAACCAAATATAATTGATTGATAGATACGTGGGGTTTAACGTCCCAAAACCACCATATGATTATGAGAGACGCCGTAGTGGAGGGCTCCGGAAATTTCGACCACCTGGGGTTCTTTAACGTGCACCCAAATCTGAGTACACGGGCCTACAACATTCCCGCCTCCATCGGAAATGCAGCCGCCGCAGCCGGGATTTGAACCCGCGACCTGCGGGTCAGCAGCCGAGTACCTTAGCCACTAGACCACCGCGGCGTGGCTCATAACCAAATATATAAAAATGCAATAAGAAATGCTCACGAATTCCACCGAGAGGGGCGCAACGCTTGTGTGTACAGTTCCGGAAGGGAAAAGTAGAAATGGATTGGAGGAAGAATGGAAGCAAGGGAAGAAAGGAGACGGACCAGATTACGGGCCACACTGGCAAAAGTAACGTATAGCGAATGGTGAAATAGCGAGAGAGTCGCTCGGCATGAAGAAGAAGAATCCTGGTTATGGCCGAAACTGACGCGTGCCTATTGTTTTCTTTCATTTTCACTCTTCTCGGGGGTGGGAGGGGGATGATCAGATTAGAAAAAGAAAAGAAGAAAAAAAAAAGGACGACTTCCGGGCAAACGGAAACAGCTGTGCCATCCGTTACCGACTGCACTCCGTGGAGCGGTGGCTCCCGCGCCTATGCGCTTCTTATTTATTCATCCGTTCTTTCGTTCGTTCGCCGGCTTCTTCGACTGCATCTGGACGCTGTCAATCGAAAGCGTGAGCCGGTCGAGTTCTGGGGTTCAAAGGAGAAGGTCCAGTTTTTGTGTTAATTTAATGTTCACATGTCGGGTTCCTGTTCTGTTAAAGAGCAGACAGATCAGAGTGTTACATACATACATACATACATATGTGCCGTATATATCAGGGGTTATATCTAGGTTTTTTTCCCTTTTTGCTGAGCTATATTTAGCGATGCTGGTTATATGCGATAAAACACGACATACGAGCCCACAGCGCCGTCTCCTCGTTACACTGATCGTTCCGTCCTTGTTTCACGCGTTGCGCCATCGCCGTCATGAATGCGTACGGGTCCAGCTCGGCCGCATCCAGCGCCTTGTTCTTAGCTATCATTTAGTGCGTATAGAACGGATAATCTGTGGTTACTCACGAGGACAGAAGGGGGCGCTGATGGGTGACGCAGCCAGTCCCGGCTGGCCTTCATCATCCATCTAGAGCAGGGTTAGTTGGAATCATAGGATTAAGAGATTTGTGGATGTAGAGATGGATTTGGTCGACGCGTGGTGGTCGGTAATTAAAGACCTCTCGAGAAACGAGGCCATCGTCCTGTGGCGTATGCTTATGCTGCTTAGACGGGGTGACGATGGCATAGAATAAAACACAGCCATATATATATATATATATATATATATATATATATATATATATATAAGCGCAGTTGAACCATAGAGGAATATGATTACGGCAAAACCCGCTATAGGTGCGTGGTATGTGGTCTTATTTTAATAATAATAATAATAATACGCATGGGGTATTACGTCATAGAACTGTGATATGATGCCGTAGCGGAGGACTCTGGAAATCGCTACCACCTGGAGTTGATTATTTAACGTGCGCCTCAATCTTAGTACACGGACCTCATGAAGTTTCGCTTCCGCCGATAATGCGGCCGTCGCGGCCCGGATTCGATACCGCGATCTTCCGTCGTCAGCAGTCGAGTACCGTGACCGCTATATACCATCGTGACGGGTGGTCTCACTCTGGTTGCTTAAGGAACATATCGCCGCGGCTGCTACGTCATCGGCGAAACTCTGTTTGATGTGTCCTTATACCGCTATATTTCCTTCCCCCACTCAGAAAAGACGAAAAAAAAAAAAAGTAGCACTTGGATGACAGTATACCGCGACTTGCTTTCGTTTTCTGACTCCTTGCCAGAGAGGGCTGCCACAAAAAAAAAAACAGAAAAGAAGAACAAAGAATAAGTGCAGTGGTCCCGTAATGAAAGTCTCTGTGTTTTCTCTGTTCACGTATATATATGTGTGTCTGTGTGTCTGCTCGGGCTGGCTGTCATTGATTGAGCGCTGTGCCGTTGTTTTCTTCCAGGCTTCCCGATTGCGTGAAGGAAAAAGCTGCGCCCCCTTTGCCGGTCAGTGGACTCTTCTTCCTTTTATTTCTTTTTAGCACTTTGTGAAGGCACGTGTATACTATCTGCGAGAACTAGCGTGACCTGCAGCCGGAGTCTGTTGCTATGTTGGATTTAGCATCAGGTGAAGCTCTCGGCCTGCCCGTGCGTCTTCTGTAGGAGGCCTCATTAGGCGACTTTTAGTTTGTCCGCAAACCTCGCTCGGGTTATCAGTACAGCCTTAAACGTCGAGAGGCATGAGCGCCTCGATGGCAGCGTTCCTTCGTATACAGCTTTCTTTCTTCTTCTTTCTTTCTTTTCTCTTCTTTCTTTCTTTCTTTCTTTCTTTCTTCTTTCTTTCTTTCTTTCTTTGTTTCTTTCGTCTTTATTTTTTCATCTTATCTTATCCACTCGATCCCCTAAATCCGCCTTTGTGGCATCCAATCTCTGCTGTCTCACTCTGGCTGTATTTAATCATATAGGTGAGTTCATGCGAAAATAAATCGACACAAAAAACAATAATAATTCACAAGAATGCAAATTAGGCACACAGCGTGCATTTCTGTGCCCTCGCCATTTTTTTTTTTTCGTCGTTTATCAACTGCATTTACATGATGTACCAGCAACACTTCGCAGACTTAATTCTATTGCGTTTGCTACTGGCAATGTAGAAAAAGCAATGAAAGCGAGTGCCTGTGTAAACACCCGGTGTTGTAGCATGACGAACTGGACAACGCCTCGTATGATGAGAAACGTAAACTAAGTTATACACAGGGAACCAGTCGGCGTTATTTATGACTAATTTGGGGGAGGGGGTTGGAAGGGCAGTAATGTCGAATGGTTAATAACGCGTTTAATGCATACATTACACATACATACATACATACATACATACATACATACATACATACATACATAACTACATACATACATACATACACACATACACACATACACACATACATACATACATACATACATACATACGTGCCGTATATATCAAGGGTTATATTTAGGTTTTTTTTTCCTCTTTCCTGAGCTACATTTAGCGATGCTGGTTATATGCGATAAAACACGACATACGAGCCCACAGCGCCGTCTCCTCGTTACACTGATCGTTCCGTCCTTGTTTCACGCGTTGCGCCATCACCGTCATGAATGCGTACGGATCGGCCGCATGCAACGCCTTGTTCTTAGCTATCATTTAGTGCGTATAGAACGGATAATCTGTGGTTACTCACGAGGACAGAAGGGGGCGCTGATGGGTGACGCAGCCAATCCCGGCTGGCCTTCATCATCCATCGAGAGCAGCGTTAGTTGAAATCATAGGATTAAGAGATTTGTGGATGTAGAGATGGATTTGGACGACGCGTGGTGGTCGGTAATTAAAGATCTCTCGAAGAAAAGAGGCCTTCGTCCTGTGGCGTATGCTTATGCTTAGATGGGGTGACGATGGCATTGAATAAAACACAGCCATATATATATATATATATATATATATATATATATATATATATATATATATATATATATATATATATATATATATATATATATATATATATAAAAGCGCATTGAACAGTAGACAATATGATTGCGGCAAACACGCTATAGGTGCGTGGTGTGTGGTCTTATTTTAATAATAATAATAATAATAATAATAATAATAATAATAATAATAATAATAATACGCATGGGGTATTACGTCACAGAACTGTGATATGATGACGTAGCGGAGGACTCTGGAAATCGCTACCACTTTGAGTTGATTATTTAACGTGCACTTCAATCTTAGTACACGGACCTCATGAAGCTTCGCTTCCGCCAAAAATGGGGCCGTCGCGGCCGGCATACGATACCGCGATCTTCCGTCGTCAACAGTCGAGTACCGTGACCGCTATAGACCATCTTGGTGGGTGGTCTTACTCTGGTTGCTTAAGGAACATATCGCCGCGGCTGCTACGTCATCGGCGAAACTCTGTTTGATGTGTCCTTATACCGCTATATTCCCTTCCCCCACTCAGAAAAGACGAAAAAAAAAGTAGCACTTGGATGACAGTACCGCGACTTGCTTTCGTTTTCTGACTCCTTGCCAGAGAGGGCTGCAAAAAAAAAACAGAAAAGAAGAACAAAGAACAAGTGCAGTGGTCCCGTAATGAAAGTCTCTGTGTTTTCTCTGTTCACGTATATATATGTGTGTCTGTGTGTCTGCTCGGGCTGGCTGTCATTGATTGAGCGCTGTGCCGTTGTTTTCTTCCAGGCTTCCCGATTGCGTGAAGGAAAAGCAGCGCCCCCTTTGCCGGTCAGTGGACTCTTCTTCCTTTTATTTCTTTTGGCACTTTGTGAAGGCACGTGTATGCGCTACTATCTGCGAGAACTAGCGCTGACCTGCAGCCGGAGTCTGTTGCTATGTTCGATTCAGCATCAGGTGAAGCTTTCGGCCTGCCCGTGCGTCTTCTGTAAGAGGCCTCATTAGACGACTTTTAGTTTGTCCGCAAACCTCGCTCGGGTTATACAGTACAACCTTAAACGTCGAGAGGCATGAGCGCCTCGATGGCAGCGTTCCTTCGTACAGGGGGGCGACAGCGTCCTTTGTTTGACTCCAATATGGCAACCTCACACAACGCGATAGCTTCACAATTTCGACTCAATATGGCAGTGGTGCGTTCAATGTGTGTACCCACCCTTTGCGAAGGAACGCTGTCATCGATGCACCCTAAGAAGCAGGATAGTATAGAGCCCGGAGGCAAGAGCGTGGGAAGATGTTTAGCCGTCGAGCGGACCCGGGGGTGTTTCGCCCGCTCGTCACGATTCACTTCGTGGAGATGCGTGGAGGAGGAGTAGGAATAAACTTTATTACAAGAAACCAGCAGGTTTAGGTGGCCGGGCCTCCCATGAGGGGACTTGAAGGGCTTGCCTCGACGCCGCCTCACGGGCGTGCTGGGTCGCCCAGGTTTTGTCGTCAAGAGCGGGGCTTAGCAGAGCCTCATGGAGCTTCGACGAAAGGGTCGTGGTGTTATACCCGTGCCACACGGGCAGAAAAAATGGCATTTACCCCCGAATGCCTTCAGATTTATTGCCATTCGCGCGGTGCCACACGGGCGAACAAAGTGGCATTCATCCGAATGCCATTCGCCACCAACTGCCTTCGCCAGAACTGAGTCGACTGAGAAATGCCTACTCTCGACGACACAGCTCGCGAAGTGCGATTTACCTGAAAGTATGTAAAACAAATCATATTGAGCTAAAAATGAAATTTCCCGTCTTTTATTTGCACTAAAGTCTTAAAAAGATGCTTTGAACGTTATACTAAGAAAATAAAGTATTTATAATGAAACGCTTGTCAATTTTAGCGAAACTTTGGCAATAAAGCATGCAACACTGGTATTTTTATCGCCATCGAGTTCACTTTCTCCGTGACTTTCGCTGCTTTTTCTCGTCTCTGCTCCAAAATTATTCGCTCTTGAGCACGATGCTTTGCACGGAAACACACAAGTGCTGCCGTGAAAAAACGAACTCTGCGAACATCTTCTTATGAGGGATGCGACAAGTGCGATGCGACAGGCGCCATTTTATATTTACGCTGTGGATCTGACTAGTGTTGGCTTAGGTTGCTACGGTCGGCTGCAACGTTGTACAACAAAGCAAGAAACTAAAACTTAGGACAGCGTAATACGCTTATTTCTACATTTGATGATTATCTGATGTGTATGAAGCTTGTAAATGCCTCTTAATTTTTTTATTGCTATTCACTCAATGCTCACTTCGAAGGTGCTGTGATCGACATCAAGTCAAATGTCATTCGCTTTGGACGTGTAGCAGCGCCGGCGAAACAAATGTCATTCGGAAACTGAAGGCCTTCGCCACCAAATGTCATTTTCTATGCCCGTGTGGCACGGGTATTAGTGTATGCGTGGATTTTTTTTTTTTTGAAAACGAAGTATCAATTAAACAAAGAATTTGTTGAAAGCAAAGTATTTTTGAAAACAAAGTGGCATCGACTATACATTTCGTGTTGATTAGAGTTTGGTGTGACTGCAACCTTTTACGAATGGTTAGACACATTTGGCACGGTGTGTCTTCTCTGCTGTCACGGCGTTCATCTCGGTACAAACGTACATTGAACGCAAGGTCCTCGTCAAGCTCCATGCCAGGCGTCGATGGTTCGGTATACCGTGCGTACGTGGTGTCCTTTTTTTGAGAAACGGTAAATAGCGTGGTCCGACCTCATCACGCTTGAGACAAGCGCGCAGTCGATGCTGTACCATTCTACAATATTGTATGTTTGCGCGCTTGTTCCTATTATGCGACTCATCCCCCGATGTAATTACTATAATAGGGCTTGCAGGGTCCATCATTATCCCTGTCACATCATTATGTCGTAAATCTTGCTTAATTCACGCAGCATTTTTTTTTCAACTCCTAAAGGACCTGAAGTTCATAGAAGCTTATAAGATAGGAAAGTGGAGGGCAGGAGGGGGGGGGGGGGGGAAGACGTGTGTTTACAGTAACGCTTTTGTTGCTTAAACTATGGCCTCCGAGAACCCGCCGCGTGCCTGCTATGTCGAAGGCTATGCTTAAACGAGCTTCTGAGCTTCTATAACTGTGAGGCATTACATCTTGTGCGTATCTCGTTATTGCTGGGAAAGAACCCACGTTGACAGTTATCTGAAGGCTTCTTACTTGAGTGAACAACCCCGCCTCGGTGGTCTATAGTGACTAAAGTTCTCGGCTGCTGACCCGCAAGTCGCGGGATGCATGGAGTCCCGGCTGCGTTTCATGAGGAGGCGAAAATGCTGTAGGCCCCTGTGTTCAGATGTGGGTGCTTGTTAAAGAACTTGAGGTAGTCGAGTTTTGCGTAGCCTTTCACTGCGGCGTCTCTCATATAGTCATAGGGTGGTTTTCGGACGTTAAACCCAAACGTTTTTATTGTTACTTGAGTGAACAATACGAAAACAGGGCAATCGTTAGAAAAGGTATTTATTCACTCCCGAAAACGCGGAAAACGCGTGCGCATGAAGGGA